GGCCTTCACATCCTTTGTGAGCGCAACTCTTTTTTAATTTATTTTATTGTTAGTAAATGTATCACCCGCACTATCTAGTGCGCTTCATTTTATTTGTTTTGCTTAATTAATTCTAAACACTAATCAAAACAGAATTACACCCAAAACTAAACACACACCCAAAAATAAAAAATGCACAAATGAATACAGTGCCGTAATATTGTTAAATGCATTTTTTTTAATGCAAGCAGTATAAGTATCTGAATTTGACCTGGTATCAGCTCCTAGCAGTCATTTAAAAAATAAAATTAAAAAGCATCTTTGGCTGCAATATTCACCTATAACCCAGTCTTATCTCTGGCAGTACTTTTTTCCACCACTAGTATGTCTTCCATCTTGAAGGGGAAGGAGAAGCAGCGTGGTGAAGTGCTTATCTCTCTGTCACCTGACTGGCTCCTTGTGCTGCTTCTCTCAATCACCCTTCAACTCTGCTGTACAGGGGCTTGAAGAGGCTGATACCAGGTCAAATTCAGATACTAATAAAGCTGATTGCAGTGCTGTATTATTTTGCCTAGAGCTCAGCTTTAAGTAATTAATCTGCCTCATATAAAACACTTACCTAATAACTATCTAATATAACCTAGAATATTAGTTAAAATAAAAAAAAACTTTATTAACTATAACATGTATTTTTTCAACAGAGGAGATCTATCTGGTTGCCTGATCCTCTCTGTGAGATGGAAGGAGATGGAATGTAGCAGGCAGCACTCAGCAGGGTAAGTTTGTATGCAAACATTTCCTGCTGTCTTTGATTGCCATGATTGGTTTGTTCATGGTGATCACATTATCAGTAACCATTCTGGTTACGGATTTTGCCTCCAGGTTCCCCAACAGTGCTGTGCATTACTCTCACAGTGCAGCAGTACTGTAGGCAATGTCTCTATCCCCCCTGACGAATGATGTATGCGTGACTCTTTATTGACTGCCGTAGTTCACATTGGGCAGTGGCTTCTCTAAACACAGACAAAGGAAAGGGTTTGATACCTTGTTTTCTTTCCAAATTCACTGGTGCGAACAGTATCATAAGCATTCTTCATCTTTTCCTGCGCTTTATTTACAACTACTTTCACTGAGTCTGTAAACGAATCGAATTTCTCTTTCACTACTGACTCTTCTGCGTGAGCAGAGCTGGGCCCTGAAATATAAGAAGCGATCATTAACAAAAAAAAGGAACAAGTTATTACATGGTCTCTTCTACAAGACAGGCAAACAACTCAACTATACCATATGGTTAAACATTTATGGGTACTTGTCCATCACACATATATGAGCTTGTTGGACATGCTATTCAAAAGTCATGGCCATAAATATGGAGTTGTCCCCCATTGTCAGTATAACAACCTTCACAAGATTTTGTAGTGTGTCTGTTGGAATTTGTATCCACTCAACCAAAAGAGCACTTGTGAGGTCAGCTACAGATGTTGGACGAGAAGACTTGGCTTGCAACTAGTGTTCCAATTCATCCCAAAGGTTTAATACTGTTGAGGTCAGAGCTTTGTACAGACCAAGCACGTTTCTCCAAACCAAACTCATCAAGCCATCAGGGTTATTCAGTAAAGGGTGAAGAGTTTGGAGAAGGCAGGAGAAGTGAACAATCTAGGACAACATAGCTGATTTGGAAGAATTCCCCAGTTCAGATAACTTTCTAGTTCAGCTATGTTGTCCTAGATTGTTCACTTCTCCAAAACTTCTCCAAACTCTTCATCCTTTAGTGAATAAGCCTGCATGTCTTTATGGAGCTGATCATGTGCACAGGAGCACGGTCATGCTGGAACTGAAAATTGTCACCCAGAAGATGTTGCCGTAAGGTTGGAAGTGTAAAATTGGCCAGGGGCCCCTGGCCATACTTTTGGCCAGGGGCGTAACTAGAAATCACAGGGCCCCATAGCAACATTTTGATTGGGCCACCAAAAACCATACCCAACCCCCGAACCCCCCTTTCCCCCAGCAATCTTCTCCTACCAAAAAAAAAAGTAATGCCATGTGGTCCCAGCAGAGGAGGGCATGCCAGGATGTGTAGCCCATGCAGGGATATGTAGTCTTTGTCAGCAGAAGGCATTCTGGGATGTGTGGTTCATGCTGGGGTGTGTAGTCCCTGTCAGGAGAGGGCATACTGGGATGTGGTTCACATTGGGATGTGTAGTCCCTACAAGGAGAGGGCATGCTGGGATGTGTAGTTCATGCTGGGACATGTAGTCTGGCTGAGAAGTTGCATTGGCCTGGTGCCATTACTGGAAGCTACTTCCCTTGTCACCCAGCTGCCATAGTTGCACTTTATTTGCAGCTCTTTTGGCACTAATCCTGTGCTCTCACTCACTGATTCTACAGGAAAGGAGGGAACACATCGGCTGCTCTGTACCTGTAAATCACTCTGGGTGGCAGAAGTTCTCAACGTGCTCAGCAGCAGCCAATACTTTGCCAGCTGAATGGTGAGAGCACAGGGGCTGTCTTTCCCAACCTTGCACGGCCCCGGTCAGGCTGGGAGGAATATAAGACCTGCTCCTGACCGGGCGGACCCCATAGTGGCCCCATGGGTCGCTATGGCGGTAGTTCTGCCACTGCTTTTGGCCATATAGTACACCATGTTGTACAGTGTATCATGCTGCATGAGGGATTTAAATGGCCTACAGTTTTACAGAAACATGGGCAGAAGAACAGTTACAAGTCTGGTCTTTATGCCACTGGACATAATACAGGAACAGAAGGAGCGTTCATTTATTTAAACATCTTACAATTACAACTAAATAACCTGGAAAGGCTCCATGTTGTAGTTTTTATACCTGTTAGACTAAATCTGTATTACTGAATGTCTTCCATAAGGCAACTGTATGTGGCTGATTACAAAAACTGGCATACCTGCTAACACAGAGAGAGCAACAATCACAACAGAGATTGCAAGGATTAGCTTCATGTTCACAACAGCTAGAGATCACACCTGGAAAAAAACAGTAGAGGACAATTACTATGCAGGGCCACAAACATAGTAATAATAAAGTTAAACATTAAAACTGGTTTCAAAGCAAATATAAAATACAGAAATGAATGTAGCTCAGTATTCATCAATACATCAATAAATGTTTTACATGCAAGCAGTGTTAGTAATTGAATCTGACTTTGTATCAGCCTCTTGCAGTCCCTATACAGAGGTGGCGCTCAACTGGTGGATCGTGACCCAAAAGTGAGTCAGAACCCCATGTTTAGTGGATCGCCGCGTGCCTTCCACTTCTCTAGGTGAGAGGCTCCTCAGCCTCCCCCTAGTGCAGCACTTTCAGTCCTCGTGCTGAGCAGCCATTCAAAATATCCTGCCCAGCGCCGAGTGTCAGCTTGAGGTGGGGTGGTTTCCATGGCCGCAAGGGAGCTCCATCCATATGTGCATTGCTTACAGCTCCCTCGCATGCCCTGTAGAGGGGCCTGGATCAAAGTGACTTCACATTCTGGCTCCTGGCACCGAAAGGAGCTGTACAAGCAATGCACATATGGATGGAGCTCCGTCACAGCACAGCAACCCACACTGGACCCCAGGCTGAGGATCCACTCCAGTTCTTGTAAGATAGGGAGGCTGGGTGTATGTGTCTGACCCCGCATTCAAATGGACATATTTTTATTATTATTATTATTATTATTATTCACAGTATATACAAAGCCGAGAAGTTTTTATGGTTCATTGATTTTTTCCAAAAACAAATCAAGCCACATTCATAAAAAGGACCTTGATTTATAGTTTATATTTTTAACAGACCATAGCAAATATCTCCATCTTCCATTATGGCATCTAACTAGCCTCAGAATGGATAAGCGCACACAATATAATAAAGTATTATTTTATGATGCAATAAAGCATAATATGGCATACAATCTAAATAATACAATATTGTATTATTGCACGCATTTACAGTATATGGTACATACTGTACATTTACATCAATATAGCATTGTATATTATTGTAAATACAATACAATATTTCATAACGTGCGTGAGAGCATGCTTTAGGGATATACATTTAAAATGTATAAATCATATGGCATATGGTAGAAATTAAATAATGTAGCATAATAGTAATCTACAACACGATCATAAAAAATTTATATAAACATAATTATGAGTTTGCCATCAATGCAATATATCATTAAACATAATATAATATATAAATATAATGCATACAAAAATAAAAAAAGTATAACAAAACTGTATAGCACAACATAAAACAATATAATATATAATAAAAAAGTTTCCATAATATATACATAACATAATGATATATATAATGTATTTTCTGTCTAGAATTTAGATCAGACCTCTACACTCAGTGAACCTTGTCCTGTTTACAGATAGGAGATACATTCAGAACACTCACCTGGCAAGAGACAAATAGCTTCTGATCCTGTGATTACAGACACACATCCTCTTATGTGCCCATTCTCCTCCCCCTTGTATGCCCCCCTCTTCACATTAACCAGAAGAGGCATTACCCTCTACTCCCATGAACGGTGTGGAATACAATCTGCATTTGTAACAAAAGGCTAGAATTAGTTAATGTGTGGAAACTCGATAGAAAAGTAGATTGAGTCCAAAACTTAACTTGGTTTGTAGGTAACAATAACCTTCCTAGGAATTCAATTAAACTTTGCAAAATATGTTGTTCCAGATACTGGGATTGGACGAGGTTTAGATTGTCTGATTGATCCTATTCCCTGCAGAGCAGCCATCTGTGGCTCTCACAGTGCCACAGGCATAAAATTGTCCCTCTATGTCAGTCTCTCTCAACCTTTTTAACATGAAGAACCTTAGTAGTAATTTTCTGGTCTCAAGGAACCCCTGCTGATAACTACTTTTATCTAAAGCCTAAAGCCACATTAGTGTGATGGTCAATGGGAAGAATTCTCCTTACATTTGTGGTCAGCTGGAAGAATGTCCCACTTACAGATAGCTAAAAGGAAAATTGGTTTCTGTGGTTATTTATCAGAGATGCAGAAGTTGCTCACTGCTCAAGGGACCCCTGGGTACCTTTAGCAGAACCCTAGGTTTCCAAAGAACCCTGGCTGAGAAAGGCTGCTCTATGCTGTCAAAGGTTGCCAGAGCAGAAGATGCCTATAGATCATCTAGCTAACTCATGCCTATAGATCTAGCTACAGCAGTGGAGTCAGACACCAAAACTTTGGTGATGGTGTTTTTAAGGAGGTTAGGATTAGTGCTAGAGCTACAGATAGGGTGTAAATTAGTGTTAGGGTAACAGGAAGGGTTAGGGTTACAGGGATTTAGTGTTAACAGAGGGTAACAGAGAGGGTTAGTGTGAGAGTTGGGATTACAGGGTGAGTGAGTGTTAGGGTAACAGTGAGGAGCTACAGGTAGGGTTAGTGTATGGGTTAAAGGGATATTAAGTTGGAGGGATGAGGTTATACATAGAGTTAGTGTTAGAATATCAGTAGAGTTATGGTTAGTACTACAGGGAGGGTTAGTGTGAGGTTTGGGGTTAAAGGGTGGGTGAGTGTTAGGGTAACAGGGAGGGTAAGAATTAGAGTTACATGCAGGGATAGGGTTATTGTAAAGGTTACAGGGGTGTTTACAGAGAGGAATGAGGTTATAGAGCGGGTTAGTGTGAGGTCTGATTTACAAGAACGCTTGTATTGGTGGTAGAGTTACAGGGAGGGTTAATGTGAGGTTTGGTGTAACAGGTAAGGCTTGTATTGGTGATAGAGTTACAGGAAGGGTTGGTGTAAATGGAGTCTTAGGGTTGAGCATTACTTGATGCACATTTGTCAGCACTAATTTGTTCCACACTGCTGGCACAGTTGATGTCTTAGTTGACTTTGGTGCTAAAGAAATTTATCACAACTCCTACTTCTGGAGGTCACTAGTTCTTATTGCTTTGTCTTTGGCTTAAAGGGTATCTCCAGGTTATTTATATATTTCACAATGTGCATTCCTTACAATTATTTTTTGCTGACTCTTAACAAGGAACACATGTCTCTCCTATTCCATTAACAATAATAGCCACAAAGGTCTGGCAAAGCACATTTTCTTCCCGTGAGCAATTATACTTACTTGTTATCAGTCTCGAGGTTTCTCTGTTTTGCTTCTCTGCCTGAACTTATCTCTCTGGGCACCAGATATGGTCCAAAACAAGCCCTCTGCAATTATAGCAGATTTTGCTGGTTTCTTTATAGTAGAAATGCTAGTATACAATGACAAGCAGCATAGTTTGCAAGAACTTACCTTTTATTTTTCAGACCAACCCCCCCCCCACCACCACCACCACCTGAATACATTGTACATTCACTGGCGATATTGTGACAGTGGGAACAGCGAATGTTAAACCTGGTGAAGTTGCAGTAAATTTAACATTTGCCGTAATAATAACATTGAATTAGGCTCCATTTCCCACCATTTAACTATTTTCAGCCAGGATGTATCCATGGAGTTTGCATGTTCTCTCTATGCTTGAGTGGGTTTCCTTCCACACTCCAAAGACATGCTGGAAGGTTACTTAATGGCTCTCTAAATTAGCCCTAGTACATCTGCATAAGAGATAGGGACCTTAGATTGTAAGCTCCTTGACGGCAGGGATTAATGTGAATGTACAATAAATAAAGTGCTGTGTAAATTGTTGGCGCTATATAAATAACTGTAATAAATAAATAAATAAATCATAAATAAATGTTGGCCCTGAGCAGACCAATAGAGTACAGTTGTGCTACATGCATTTAAAGGTTAGCACAAGTGCTTACATATGTACAATAATGCAGTGAAGTGCGGTACCTCATATTCCGGGTGAGGCATTCCCCCACCCCCACCAGCCGAAGCCACGCCCCCGCAGCCATGCCCCAGCAGGTTGAAGCCACGTTCCCATCGGATGAAGCCACGCCCCCAAGCTAGTGTAAAGGAGGAAGGGAGGAGCCTCCCTGTCCCTCCCTAACTATCTGAAAAGAGCCGGATGCAGCGCTACCTGTAATTACCAGGCAGCGCTTCATCCATGACGGGTTACACAGCGGGGAGGATTTCTCTGTAAGCCGATCTGAATGGAGAAAAAGCTGTCAGCTTCAGACTTGAAGCTGATAGCTTTTTCCTCCATAATTCTAGGTGAGGCGCTGCCTCACCTGCCTCCCCTGACTGCACATCCCTGCAATAATGTCATGTAATATAAAATATGGTCCATGCACAGCACCATGGATTTTACAGATCTTTATTACATGCCTCTTACCATTAAAAAAAAAAAAGCAGATGACGCTGCTAAAGTTATTTAATTCATTAATTCCGCAGGCAGATATGCACTGCCAGTGTATGCTGTCACCGAGACTGACAGCAAAAATCGTACTGTTCCATAACACCATGTGCAGCTTTAAGACACCCCCAAGCATGGTATATAAAGGATTTGTGTATTTGTAATGTTGCCATCAAAGTTGCATGAAAAGTCCCTCTTCTCGCTGCGCAGATTTCTCTTTTGGCATTGCAACATGTCCTCCATGGCAGTGTCCAGCACTCCATGCATTTTTTATTACAGTAGCTTGCCTATTAGCCTTGAAAGTGGCCAGAATTTATTAACAGGCTTTGCCTCCCAATAGACCAGTGGAATTTGCCACCAAGTTTGGGTTCACTAAGTTTGGGTTCCAAATTTCAAACAGGATTTGTCAAACCATTGGTGAATCGAACTCGAGCAGATTCAATCATCTCTAGTCTGCAGCCTCAAACAAAAGCATGAAGTAACTTTCCCGATATGCATCAACAATAAAGTAAACACAGCCTGCAAAATAAGAAGGTAAATACTTACCATTCTGATAGCTGGTGTGTTAAAACTCCGCCATGTTCCTGATCCCCAGTCACGTTTATACTTCCAGGTGTGTGAATACTTGCTCCTCCTGCTGCACAATTTTACTCCTCCTGTCGGCTCATATGTTCTGTAGCGATGTGTGCAAGCAACCAGGAGGAACCTTCTGAGGCTGTCCACCATGTTATTTAATTTGAGCCTACCTCGTGTGTTCTTGAAGTTCGGGCCAACCTCATGCACACCACCTGCAGACAACCTTGCAGCCCCTCCCTGCTGCCCACCATCTTCACACACACACACACACACACACACACACACTATATATCTCTTTATATGACACTCTAGCTTCTTCCTTCATTTACACAACCTCTTTGCTTTGCAATGTTATGGTCTGCTCTAGCATCATTCTAGAGCCTCAGCTTTGCTGCACTGCCAGGCCGATCCGGCTTTGCACGTTACCCTTTGACTGGAGTCACAGCCACTCTGTGTCTCCTGCTTACTCACCACCACAAGGGAGATGCGGCTTTGCACGTTACCCTTTGACTGGAGCCACAGCCACTCTGTGTCTCCTACTTACTCACCACCACCTTTAGTTTAGGCATCTTACTGCTTCTTAACAGAATGTGGCCTGTAGACAAAGGTTTAATATTCCTGTTCTAGAGCTTCCCAAAAGTTACCTAACTAGTTGCTCTATCATGCAAATAGCGTTTGGTTCCTGTAATTGTGGTCTCTTGCTCACTCCCTCCCATTTAATGTCCCTCATTTCATAGTAATGGGTTAATAGTGAGACAAGGGATGTTAGATAAGAGGATGAGAGCTTCTTCATATTAAATATTGCACATGATGGCTAACAGGTAGTCATACAGCATTGTTTGTTTTCATGTTCCCTTTCTGTTCTAATTAGGATGATGGGATAGAGAAGGACAATATTGCAAAATATTTTGATTAAAGCTTACTGAGATGAAGAGGATTCGAGGATCCAGTATTGGAGGATCTGGTAATAGGCCAGTGCAATCCTACTGAGATGGAGAAGACTGGAGGTTTGGATGTGCCAATCCAAACCTCCATAAATAAGTAATACTAGAAGATCCTTTGATGGGGTAGTCTAAGCCTACCTAAATGGTGAATACTGGAGTGCCCCCTAGTAGGACAGTCCTAATCTACCAAGATAGGAAACTATTGCAGACTCTCTAAAGGACTAGCCCAAGCCTGCTGGTATAGTGAACACTGAACGATCCTTTATTTTGCCTGTCTAACCTACCAAAATAGGCAACATTGAATGTTCTTCTGATAGTCCAGCCCAGGTTTATTAAGATGAGGAACACTTGAGGATACTTATATGAGTTATTCCAAGGTTAGTGAAATGGGAAGACCCTCTGATGGGCTTGTCAAGATGGGGATTACCAAAGGATACTCCCATAGGCCAGCCCAATCTTACTAAGATTGGGAACACTGGAGAATGCCTATATGGGATAGTTCAAACCTATACAATTCTGAAGTGATGAAAGTTGTACATAGTTCAGGGGTTTGATCAATCTGGGGTCTTTGTACAGTACACATGGATTCAGGGAAAGGCTCTGTTTCATACTTGCTCCAGCCTCCGTCTTCACTAAAGGCTAATTCACTGTTAAAGCAACTGGGGGATGGTCACCTTTATCAATAATAGGATTACCAGATTAGTCATTTGAGCTGC